TTCTTTTTCTGTAAATCGAACTACTTAAAATAGTTTATAAACTTAGATCCTTAGTAAAAAGCTGTTTTTTATTGGTTTAAGTTGACTTTTTAAAAATTTATCTTCGCTGGCCAGGCGCAGTGGCTCATGCCCAGCTCTTTGGGAGGTGGATGGGGGGTGGATCACCTCAGGTCATGAGTTTGAAGCCAGCCTGGCCAACATGGTGAAAGCCCATCTCTACTAAAAATACCAAAATTAGCCGGGTGGGGTGGTGCATGCCTTAATCCCAGCTACTCGGGAGGCTGAGGCACAAGAATCACTTGAACCCGTGAGTCAGAGGTTTCAGTAAGCTGAGATCATGCCACTGCATGCCAGCCTGGGTGATGGAGTGAGACTCTGTCTTAAAAAAAAAAAAATGGCCGGATTCAGTGGCTCACGCCTGTAATCCCAGCACTTTGGGAGGCCAAAGCAGGCGGATCACTTGAGGTCAGGAGTTTGAGACCAGTCTGACCAAGATGATGAAGCCCCGTCTTTACTAAAAATAAAAAAATTAGCTGGGCATGGTGGCGGCGCACACCTGTAGCCCAACTACTTGAGGGGCTGAGGCGCAAGAATCACTTGAACCCTGGAGGCAGAGGCTGTAGTGAGCCCAGATCGCACCACTGCACTTCAGCCTGGGTGACAGAGTGAGACTTTGTCTTAAAAAAAAAAAAAAAAAAAAAAATTATCCTCCCTAAAAAGCTATTCCAGTATCTTTTTTCACATTCATTAGTTATATTATTTAGTGGTTATATGTAGTTCTTTTGAACTGTTTTCTGAGTTTTTGAAACCAATTGCAGAAATACAGCCCGAGGGAAACATGGTTTAGCAGTAGTAGGACTGAAAAAAAGAAGGTTTTTTTGTTTTGTTTTGTTTGTTGTTTTGTTTTGTTTTTGTTTGTTTGTTTTTTTGAGGTGGAGTCTCACTCTGTCACCCAGGCTGGAGTGCAGTGGCGCCATCTCAGCTCACTGCAAGCTCCGCCTCCCGGGTTCATGCCATTCTCCTGCCTCAGCCTCCTGAGTAGCTGGTACTACAGGTGCCCGTCACCACGCCCGGCTAATTTTTTGTATTTTTAGTAGAGACGGGGTTTCACCGTGTTAGCCAGGATGGTCTCTATCTGACCTCGTGATCCTCCCGCCTCAGCCACCCAAAGTGCTGGGATTACAGACGTGAGCCACTGTGCCTGGCCAAAAAGAAGTTTTAATTATTGCCAACCTCACTGTGAGACTGTAGTATTTTGTACCTAACAAAAAAGTTTCCATAGTAATCCTTAGTAAAAAAAAAAAAAAAAAAAACCAAAACAAAAAAAGCAAAACCTTCTATTACAGAAAACTATATAGTTGTTATACTGTACTTTTAAATTTTTGTTGTGTTTTTTATTGTCATATTGTTTTTTCTCACATATTTTCAGTCCACAATTGGTTGAATCCATGGATGTGGAACCTGTGAATACGGAAGGCCAACTGTACAAAAAAGACCCCAGAATTAATAAGTAAGGTTAGTAAGTTTTCAGGATACAGAATTAATATACAATATTCTATTGTATTTCTGCATCCTAGCAATTAACAATTGGAAATCAAAAATTTGTCAATGATAATAACATCAAAAATGTGAACTACTTAGGAATAAATCTGAAAAAGTATGTGAAAGCACCATAGACTGAAAACTAGTAAGCATTGCTGAGCGAAATTAAAGAATATCTAAATTAGTGGAGACATATACATCATTTGTAGATCATAATGCTCAATATGGTTATCAGTTCTACCCAAATTGTTACATAGATTAAATGCTATATCTATCATATTCCAAGCAGCTTTATAGAAATTAACAAGATGATTCTAAAATCCATATGTAACTATGAAAAAAAAAACCCCTAGAATCAGAACAGTTTGGGGAGGGGGAATAAATTTGTACTAAAGCAGAGATATTGATTAGATAGTTGGATATGAGTCTAGTATATGGGGAAGAAGTCAGATTTAGAAATACAAATTTGGGAGCCATAAGCACAGAAGCACTGTTTTAAAATCATGCCACTGAATGAGGTCAACAGTAGAGTATGGAGAGGAAGATGAAAGGAACCAGAAGAGGATTCTGGAGTGGCCAGGTTAGTCAGCAGAACTAGGAGAATATGTTGTTCTGGAAAACAAGTAAAGAATTATTCAAGGAGGAGAGAGTGATCAACTTTGTTGATTACTAGGTCACATCATTTGGGGTGAGAGGCTTGCCCACCGAATCTAGCAATTTTAGTGCCATTGCTAACTGTGGCTAGATATTTGGTGGAATGGAGAATAAAAACACATATGATTATGGGTTCCAAGAGAAAGTAGAAGAATTAGGGATGAATATAAACAACTGAGGTAATTTTGCTGTGAAAGGGAACAGAAAAATTAAGCCATTGTTGGAGGGAGATCATAGGGGTCAAGATAAAGGGTGGGGTTTTTTGGGTTTTGTTTTTATTGCGAGTAGGGAGAATTATTTGCATATATATGTTTTATGCTGATTGGGATTATTCAATATGTGGAAAAATGGATGATACAGGAGAGAGGAGAATTGCTGAAATGGTATTTTTGAATGAGTTAGAGCAGGATAGAGATCAGTATGCAGATTATGCATAAGTGCTCCACGATTGTTTGCACCTCTTCCATGTATACCCTTTCTTGATTGCTCTTTCATGTGCTTTATTAATGATCTTACCTATTTAATTGGGAGAGTTTCCTAAAGTATCTGAAACATATTCCGTGTTCTCATACTAGATTGTCTTGAAGAATTGAGGATCAAAAATCAAAGTAGCCAGAGTTTCTTGAAAAGATTCTTAAGGCAGCCAAATTCCAAATGGCTAACAGAACCAAAATGGCAAAGACTATTGCATACTTTCATAATTTAATTTTAATATTAATATAGAAGTCTTGTTCACAAGTTTTTCTTATATTTCACATATATCTCAAAAAAGTTTCCATTTCGGTATTTAAACAAAAAAAACCCACACACTTCGGGATCTTTTGCTTTCTAATATTGTTGAATAATCAGAAGAATCTGGCCAATCTTTAATGTGCTAGTAAAAAAAAAAAACAAAACTGAATTTTTAATTTTTCCACTTATTTACATTAGTTGAAAGTGTGCCCTCTTGTGGACTATTCAGTAATTTTCACATAAAAGGCTTTTATATTGCAGACTAAATTAATTGTATATCACATATGTTTTGGTCAAAAGTTGAGATCTAGATCTTAATTTTATAGTTCTTTAAAACCTAAACCTCATTTGGAAATAAACAGTCATTGTTTGATTTTGCATTTCTAATACGATTGTATATGCAACAGTCTTATAACAGTTTCAACCTATATAAGGGACTTGGAGACAGGCTATTTTGCAGTGTAAAAGAAGATGAGGAATAAATTTTGTTTTGGTGTGTTGGGGGTGGACTAGGAATCCAAACAATTCATAGATACGCTTGGAAATTTCCTTTGTAGCCTCTATGTAAAAATAAATTTATAATAATCAAATTCCAGGACACAGGACTATATTTTTCCTGAGGTAGTTTGTAGTTTTGTATAGTTTGGTACAATTAAACTTTGTGTAACTAACTACAGGCCTCTGCAAATCCATTTAACTGTATAACAAACTGGGACTATTTAAAGTTATATGAAGTTTTATTGAAGTCAGTTCATAGAAGTATATAGTTTTACTCATTGTTTTATTTCTCAGCAAACGTGAACATATTTTATAAACCGCTTTTGAGAAACCCTACATCTCAACCTTATTTACTTAGTGGTAACTTTTCTTTCTCTGCATAATAGTACTCAGCAGTGTAAATATATCCTTCTAATACATGTTATAAATATATTATGTGATATAGCTACACTGTTGGGACACACATATACATTATTGGTATCCAGCATGGTGGCTGCAGAGAACTCAGTGTTCCAGAAGCAAAGCAAGTGTCTCAAGAGAGTTTTAGAACTTTGCTTTATTTTACATTTTAAAAATTTATTGGAAGTAATTTGGAACTTTAGAAAAGCAGAAATGTTTTAAAGAAAATGAGAATTTTTACAGTGCAACTTATTGGGAACTTTTTGTTTTTGAACTAGAATTTGAGGAAGATCCTTTCAGAAGTATCTTAAATAGCATGTGAAAAATCTGTTCTTAAATAGCAGGCAGGGAAAAGGAATCTGAAGGTGGCTTGACTGAAGTGAAAGGATTCTGCTGGAGAGGTGCCACTCTCTAGGGACTCACTGACCTATTTAAAATAGTAAGTAGTACCACATAGATTTATTTATTTACTTAACCTGTGTAGCTATTTAGCATTTATATCCCACCTATTTTCTAAAAGGATTTTAGGTGGTTTATAATGTTAAATGTAATATAAACTAGGACAATAAAAATATACTAATTTAAACTTTTTAAAAAATTGTTTAATGTGAGAAGGCTGAGCAGAGGGCAAGGAGAACCTTTTCATTCTTGCCACCAGAAATCTTGCTCCTCTCTTACTAAAGCTTTCAGTCATCCCTCCAAGTGGTGGCGGGACAATTCTAAGGTCTGACCTTAGTTCTTAGCATAGTATGTTAACAGATCTACCCTTAGTGTCCTGGCCCACCAGGACTCGAGCAAACTTTTCTGTTACCCAACAGGTTGGGCTGCAGCCACACTATAACAAGGTCTGAATCTCAGCCTTGTGAGATGAGTATGCTTTTCCAAATTCTTATTTTCCTCAGATATTTTCCCCCCTTAACTCCATGGATGGTAGCTGCTTCCTGTATTTGCCATTCCTGTATTTTGTAGAATCCTTTTTATACCATCCAGTTAACCATTTTTTACTACTTAATAATTCTATATATTAAATTTTTCCTGCTCAAAAACAGTGTGTGTGTATATATACACACATATATCTGTGTGTGTATATATATATGTACTTAGTTTTAAGCCTTTCTCCCACCACCAAAAAAGTTAACATTAGCGAAGAAGGTATTAATTAAATATTCCACGTATATGAAATTTCAGTTTATTCAAAATAGTGTTATAATCACACAAGGTGACAGTATAGTATAAAGAATGCTGAACTGGAGATCAAACACTTATATTCTAGTCTTGGCTAGTGAATTACCAGCTCAGAGACCTTGAACAGACACTTATCTTCTCTGAAGAACTTTTACTGTTTGCTGTAGGTTTATCTTTTTTCCATAGCAGTGTAGATGTTTCTCAGTTTTATGTCCTTTAGACAAACATAAGAATATAAGATTTGGTTAGCAACACCTGAATTCAAATCCTGTTTCTGCTGCGTGCTGCCTGTTTAGCTATAGACAGAGTTTTTAGGCCCTGAAACTTAATTTTTGCATCTGTGAAATAGTAATAATCTTTATAGTCCTTTGATATTGGAATGATTAAGAAAAGGGATGTATAAATATCTGACACATAACAAGTGCCAAAAAAATTTCCCCCACAGCGTTACTTTATTTCTTGCCTATCTGATCTATTATAATGTAACTTATCAACCCTCAGTAAATCACTTCCATAACTATAGCTATAGTTCAGACCACTTTTGTCACATTGTGAATTTCCAACTTCCTGCTTTAGACATCTCCAACTAGATATTACACTGGCATTTTAATCTGAACAAGTCCAAAATCACACCATGGTTACATGTAAGTACTGCAGTATTCTAACAGAACTTTCTGCTTCCATCCTCTGTCTCTGTCTCTTCCTCCCCCACCCTATCTTCCTTATCACTATTAAATTAGTCTTAACTGAAAGCTTAAGGATGTGGAAAAAGATATCAACATTATATAAGAAACTCCCTTGCAGGCTCCAGTTGACCTTTCTGGCCATATGCTCTAAAGTGTTTATGAATATACCTTGCATGTTATATTAGTCTTTAGCACCTAGCTCAGTGTACTTCATAGAAGATGCTTAACATAGGTAATTATTTAAATACTCAGAGAAATCTATGTACATGTAGCAGCAACAGGAGACTTACTAATTTTTTTATTTTATCATAGTTTATATTACTGTTTTCCTGAATCATAAAGTAATATTCTAATCATAATAAAAGTCCAAGGATACAGATAAAAATACCACCAAAATAACAATTCCCCAACATCTCAGAATATACCCGACCCCTAATCATTGTTAAAGGTTTAATAATATTCTTTTTTTTCATGCATAGACCATCATTTTTATGAAAATGTTTTAAGGAAAAGTATTTAGCTTGGTTGGTGAGCTTATGATGTGCACATTGATATTTTTGATTAGCAATATATCTTTAATATCTTTTCTTGAATTTTAAGAATCTTTGTCATTCTTTTTTATTTTAGTGCCAATTTGTGGAGAGATTAAAATACAGAATCATCACTGTAAAGTTGGTTCAGGCTTTAATTCAATGATTCTTTCTCTTTTCTGCCTCTGAAATATGTATTCCCTTTACCACATTCTTGTGGCCAAACTCAAATTTTAAAGGGCAGAGGATGTTTCCGTCTTGTTAACCATTGTACTTTGCTTACCTAGCATAGTGTCTGACACAGTAACATAAGAGATAAACATTAATTGGATGCGTCATGAAGGACTAAATATTTTAGAAATAGTATGTTGTGTTGGGGTGCCGCTTATAACTCAGGGGGTACTTACAGGGTTGAATGAAACTGTTATATAACCTGATATGGCATTTTAAACTGTTAACTATTAAGCATAGTAAAAGGAAAATACTTTAGTTATGTAAAGACAAGATGAAGCAGATTTTTCTGGAAAACAACACAAAGTAGAGTTTAAAGCAATTTCAATTATTAAATTACTAAGACAGATTGAATAGTTGTTATGGGAAAAGTTACCAAAATCATATCTTAACATCCATCATGTATTTAGCTCATTATTAGTGTATTCAAAGATGGAGGAAATAAGGGGTTTGTGCTTGGTAAGATTTATTTGTTAAAATGTCATTGTGCAAATTTTGAGAAGAAAGGTTATGAACTTAGCATAAAAAATATCATGGTGTTTACTTACTCATTGTAATCTTGTATCCAAAACTGATTTTCCTCAAAGTGAATTTTGCTTTCTGCTCAATAGTTCAGATCAAGAAGAAAGTTAAGAGTAATTGCAGTGCCATAGAAGTGTGAATCACATACTAAATGTGGTTATAAAGTAAGGAGCCTAACTCCATAAAGCCAGAGTCACCATACTTCAGTGTCACATGGTACAGTACACTGACTAACAGTCTTTTAAACTGGATATTTCAGTCAACCTGTAAAATAATATTTAAAAAAGAATGAGACAGATCTGCATAAATGAAAGATTTCCAAGATAATATACATGGCAAAAGCAAGATGCAGAAGAATATATAATAAATAACAGCTTACATTTAACGAACATTTACTACATGCCCAGCACAATTCTAAGAACTTTACACATATTATTTCATCCTCACAGCAAAATTTAATAATAATTACCTACCTCTTATATCAGAGATGAGGAAACTGAGGTGCAGAAATTAAATACGTTGTCCAAGGTTATGTAGTAAGTGGGGAAGCTTGGATTCAAACACACAGCCTAATTAATCTCTTTCTTTCTTGGCTATATATTTTGAGTATATTGATTGTGTATGCATAGTAATCTCTCATGGATGTACCGTCATTTGTTATACTAATAATATTGTTATACATTTTAGTTGTTAGTTTAAGTGTCCATGTACCAGATAGCCTGGGTTTGACTCCAGTTGTATGACCTTAGGCAAATTATTTATCTTCTCTGTACATCACATTCTTCATCAAATAGAACTGTAATATTAGCACCTCAGGTTCATATGAGGATTAAATGAAAGTATATTAAAGTGTTTATAACCATTTTTATTACATAGTAAGTGTTTTTTTTTTTTTTGAGACGGAGTCTCGCTCTGTTACCCGGGCTGGAGTGTAGTGGCCGGATCTCAGCTCACTGCAAACTCCACCTCCCGGGTTTACGCCATTCTCCTGCCTCAGCCTCCCGAGTAGCTGGGACTACAGGTGCCCGCCAACTAAATGTAGTAAAAATGTTGTGGGAGTATCTACATGTGTATGTTTTTCAGCATGTATATGATTATTTCTTTAGGATATATTTCTAAAAGTGAAATTGTTGAGAAAAAATTTGCATGTTTTTAAGGCTTTGTTTATAGGGTGCAAAGTGGCCCTCCAGAAAATTTATCTACCATCAGATAATAAGAATGCCTTCTATTCCAAATCTGTCCCAATTTTAATATTATTATAATCCCTACTGATACTGTTTTATTTGCATTTCTTTTGTTTGCTTGAGGAAGTTGTAAATTTGGTAGTGAAATTAAATGAACTGGAGTCTTTAAAAATCTTAGCAAATGCTTAAAAGTTCCCTTCAGACTCATTAGAATGGGCTAAATTGATAATTTACTATAGTATCTTACTCTAATTAAGCATTCTTTTAATTAAACCTCAAGCCATTCTTAAATTTAGTTTATAAATGATTCTCACTCAATGTATTTTGTTTGATTTAGTTCTTAGTATTACAACAGTTAGATTTTTTTCTGCTTTCTGTCTCCAGTATTTATTTCTCCTGCCTTATGATTTAAGTAATTGTAGGTGAGCAGGCCCAAGACTATGACTTGTAATACTGTGGTGAAATATATACTGGAATGCCAAATAATTATTTATAATAGATCTTTCAGAAGTAGGAATTATTTGTATTGAAAAGATGCCTTTCACTCTATTTGATTCGAAAAGACTCCTGTTCTTCCTCTGTTCTCCCAAATCTATTTAGTAATGCTGTTAACTTTCTGGATCACTTACTATGTGCCAGGTGGTATGTCAGATGATACATGTGCATTATTTTATTTTATTCTCATCACCACTTATGAGGTGAGCTACTTTCCTCACTCTTCCATTTTTTCAAATCAGCAGCTCTCAGATGGCTTTGCCTGGTGACCCACAATTTAAAAGACATTTTACCTGGACTCACAAAGCACTGTGCAGTATACCCTTATATTTCTATTCCCTCCATTCCTTTCAGTGTTCAACCCACTAAATTTATTTTATAATCTACTAATCGGTAACCAGTCACAGATTGTAAAGCACTACCTTAAGTGACAGTTTTAAAGCCCTCATTAAAATCTTCTTTACAGTTTGGTTGCCATTTCATTCTGGACACATGTCAGCTTCAGTTTTACAAAAAACAGTATACTTTCACAGAGCTAAGCAGTCCAAAACATTATTCAATCCAGAGCCAAAAATGTCATAGCTAGTTAGTTAGGGTGTGTTTGTTCATGTTTAGAATCCTAGGAACACTATTTCTTGATGGACCCTGGTCACCTTCCAAGATAAAGTAGCAACATTTACACAGATTACTTACATTTATTAAAAGCTGTGACTTTAGCTAAAATTGTGACCTCATTTCTACCAAATTCCTCTGCTGTTCTTCAAAATCTTGGATTCCAGTGGTATTAGCTATAGTTCAGCAGTGAAGATCAAATGTTTTTGTCAGTAATCATCTATCAGCATGTAATTAAAGCACTTTAAACCAAGTAAGTATTGTTGCTCTCCCGCCCTTTCCCCTTTACTCCCAGTATTTAGTTAACATCAGTATTCAGTGCATTTTTATATCACTGTGAAAAGCACAATCTTGTGGTTAGGCTTATTAATCTTCTAGTTCATATATGGGTAACTAAATACATAGTCATTTTTAGGCTAAAAATCCTAGCCTGGGGTTGGATCTGCTCTATTTGTTACTCACCTGGGGCTTCAGAAAACAGTCAGGTAGCCCACAGTAGAATCCTCTAGCATATTACTCTTTTTAGGTTCCTAGCCTCTGAGTTAAATAATTAAATACAGTCATTTGTTACTTAATCTGCTTGAATATGGCAGTGTACATGTACAACAGTGAGTTGTATATGAATAACGATATTTTTGTGATCTGTAAGTCATTTTCATTCAATGATTTAATTCCATTAATTACTAAGCATAAGTTGGAACTTCCTTATTAGCATAAATTTATGAAAAATTCAGTGTGTTTTGGTGACTTTTATCAGGAAATTTTAAATTCCAGCCAACTTTTTAAAGTGCTTCATGTGACTGCTAACTATGCAATGTTGCATTAAATTTCTTTAGTAATTGTTAAAGAATCAAATTAATAATTTCAAAGAGTAGAGTCCACAGTGTAGCAAATGGACAAATATAGAATAGCTAGTAGTGATTATAGCTTTCCTATATTATTTCCTGTGCCTTTTCCTTTCAGTGGGCTTCTACTAGAAATTTTGTCAGTCATTCACCAAAGGAAAGTAACGTTTTTTTCCCTTAGCTGGCAATTGGTAAAGAATGTACATATAAAGGTCTTTAAACTGTAAAGAAAAAAGAGGAAGTGATTACCACAAGGACAAGATAGTTAATACCCCTAGAAGGAACCAGAATGCTAGCCTTTTGGATGGTGGTTCTATGGATGCTTACTTTATAACTCTTGTTAAGTTCTCTGTGTGTGTGTGTGTGTGTGTACCTGTTTAATGTGCCTTTGTTCAATAGATCTTATATTTATTGTACCTGTTTAATGTACCTTTGATCAATAGGTCTGATATTTATAATAATCATGTTTGGGGCAAAGGAAATTCTTAATTTTAACTACCTGTATAATTATACATTAAAAAATTCTTATTTGCAATGTTGCATTCAGACATATAAGTAAGGGAAATCACTAGTATTATGTCATTTGAATGTTTGACGTTTACAACTCAAAAACTTAAGAGGTTCTCTTAAAAGTAACTGACTAGCAAATACAGCCTTTAAAAGATAAATATTTAAGCTTTTTAAACTGGAAGCTACAATTCAGTTTTCAATCTTAGCTCTATGGCTTAGTTTGATGTAGTGTTCCATTTGCTGATTAATTTATAAAGTAAAAGTAACTTAATGAAAGTGTACCTTCCATTAATGTATACATTGGTAAAATATTATCTGCTTACAAAAAAGGGTTTACCAAGCACTGTTAAAGGAAAGATAAATGTTTTACAAGCCATATGTTGAAAATAAGAGAAAAATGTGAAAATGTGGGGGTTTTGAACAGAATAACAAAGTGTTCAGTTTTTACAGAATGTCTTCATATATTTTTCTGTGTGTATATATAGAGAGAATTCCATCATGGTAAATACTAAACATTAAAGTCAGTTAAGTAATTTGTATGGGGAACATTAAAAATGTTAACACATGTCTTTGCCTTTCTGTGGTTGCACATTGGTTATGTGACTTATAAGAAACATGTAGTGATAGTTGGAAAGACAAGCTAAGTACATGAACAGTAAGTAACCATGCAAGATTGAAACAAGACAAGTTTCAAAAGATGTCACAAAGGAATATATAATTATTTACCAAAATAATATTGGGCAATAAATGTCATAAGTTCAGAGTAGGTTAAGATACTCATTTGGGTGAATTTGAGGTTTCATGAAATAGTGGGAACATGCTTTGGATCTTGAAGAATTATAGGATTTGGACCAAAGTAGGAATGGGCTTCCTAGGTAGGAAGAATGTCTTAAGGAAGTGTATAAAGATGGGAATACACAAGGGAGATTTGGGAGAATCTGATTAGATCAGGTTGGTTGGGGAGGGTGGTTTATGTAGGATAGTGATAAAAGACACAGCTAGAAAGGCAAGTTGAAGCTAGATTATGAAGTTAAATGTTTAATGTGCTTATATTGTGGAAATGAATTACAGTGCTTGTCGAGGTTGATCAAGTATTCCTATCTAGCCATCCAGCCTAACAGTTAAGAAACAAACTCTGGAACCATATTGCTTTGGTTCTAATTCTTGCTCCACTAGTTACTTTAAACTCACTGTAAATTAATTTCCTCTTAGTAAAATGCAAAAAACAATAGTAGCTGTTGTACTGGGTTGTTGTGAGGACTGAGTTAATGTGTGCAAAGCACTTTGCAATTGCTTAACATATAGTAAGTGGTATATAAAAATGATTATTATATAGGTTGAACAAACAAAAGCAGAAATTTTTTTTTATAGTGACTAAGCATTTTCCTGGTAGTAATATATCTGACATATTTCTACAAATAATTGTCTGTTTTGTGTGTTGCAGTGTTTGGGAAATGGGAAGTAATGACAGCTGGCACCTGAACTGAGTACTTTTATAGGCAACACCATTCCAGAAATTCAGGATGAATGGGGATATGCCCCATGTCCCCATTACTACTCTTGCGGGGATTGCTAGTCTCACAGACCGTAAGTTTGGTTAATTTATCTAACTTAAGTTCTACTGTGTGTTAATAATTTTTACAGTGACTGTTCTAAAAATTATTATAGGTTCTTTAAAACACATTTACAGAAAAAGCAACTGAAACTGCCCTTTAAAGAAAAAACAATTGACAGCCTAATTTATCTAACTTCTTAGTGATGTTTAATTTGGTTGTCATGTTCAGTAATCTGTTGGAGTTTGTTGGGGATATCAGCAGCCTGTTTTACTCTAAGGACTTAAGAATTTTAAAGAACATTGCCAGTCTTTTGAGATTTATTTAATGTAACTCAATTTTTCAGAGATTTATTCTTTCGTTAGGCATTTGTAACTATAATTCTTAGTCCTTGAGTAAAAAGCTCCCTACAATTTTAGTTACTGTGTCGTCCTACCTGAATAAATAAAAGGAAAAAGATATGAGAGGGAAGGGTAGAAAGTGAGAGAATGGCATACTTTTCTTTGTATAGCATTGTGCAAGATTTGGAACTTCATAATAAGGGAGCTAGGAGAAAGTATCTTCAAGAAATGTTTTTGTCCATGTTCAGTATCCTCCAGATACAATTTTTCTGGCTTTTGTTTTGTTTTGTGAATTTCCAGTTGGTTTTAGTGGGGTAAAATAGATAACAGCCTATATAGCTTTGAGCTTAGGAAACTAGCATAACTAGTTTATGAGGTCTAAATTAACAGGGAAGTGCTGTAGGTGATTGGGTTAGCATTAGGTAAGAAAACTTTTTGAAACTGGTATTATCACTTTGTTGTAGGTAAGGCATAAATACTTCAGGAGTACAAAATCAGATATACTATAAGGAATTTCTTTTTGGTTTTTCTCCCCATGATCTTTGCTATACCTCAATATTTTGTCTTTGCAGGAAGCCCTGTTTATTAGGTAATAATTTATTTTCTGTGTTTTTATTAATGAAAATCCTGTTCGTACCTATTGGGGCTGAGCACCATAATAATTATACTGTATAGGTGATTAGAAATTAAGCCAGAAACAGACACCTGACATTTTAGTTAGCTTTCTTAACTTTTAGATAAATGAACAAATTTCTGTTAGGTGAACAGAGATTAAACAGCTGAGTTTAAGCTACTATAAAACATTTATGTTCTTTTGTTTGCTATTAGAGAATAAAGAGGAGATAATTAGGAATTTGGAATTTAGAAGAATATTTTAATATTCTTACAGAATTCTATGCTATGAATGCTTTCTCGCTAAAGTGAAGTATTTATTTGTATATTCTTAAGCTTTTAAAAAATGTTACTTGTGTTTTATGAAGAGTCAGATACTGTTATTTGATTTATTTGTATGAGCGTACTAGTGATTCTGATAAATCTTATAAACAAGAACAAATGAAATTAATGAATTGCTACATTGGAAGTTAGTTTGTAACCATGCCCTTTTCGCTAGTCATTTGTTTAAGAAATGAAAAGCAAGGATGAATATAAGGGAGCTGAATTTTATTCCTAGAGACTAGTATAATCTATTATGGTCCAAGTGATGTTTTGGGAGTTTTGTAGGGTTGATTGAGGTGTGTTAGGAAGAGGAGGAATGCTTTTTAATAATTTGTCACATTGATATTTATAACTTACGTTTAATCCCAAAATACAGATAAACACTAAAGAGACTTCTTACAGTCACTCAATTTCTAATAATCTGATTTTATTCCAAATAGTCCTGAACCAGCTGCCTCTTCCATCTCCTTTACCTGCTACAACTACAAAGAGCCTTCTCTTTAATGCACGAATAGCAGAAGAGGTGAACTGCCTTTTGGCTTGTAGGGATGACAATTTGGTTTCACAGCTTGTCCATAGCCTCAACCAGGTATCAACAGATCACATGTAAGTATGATCAATTTTATATCTAATATAAGTAAAAAGTTTTGGCCCAAGAGAATCCATATTCCTGGTTTTATTTCAAAAATTTTTAGATGCATAGTTTATTTTTAAAATATATCAGTATCCAAGGGAGAATATAGTCTTATTGCGATAATAGATTAATGAGATTTAAATAGGCAATTTTTAGATAACTCTGACCCATGTAGCTCTATGGATATTTTTTCAGCTCTTTTGAACTTATCTTGGGGGATCGATCGTCTTTGCAGAGATCTGGTCATGAAACTATATCCCTGGCTGGGCGCGGTGGCTCACGCCTGTAATCCCAGCACTTTGGGAGGCCGAGGCAGGCGGATCACAAGGTCAGGAGAGCAACACCATCCTGGCTAAC